AGCAGGAACCAGCCCAGCTCCGAGGACTGGGACAATCACCCATGGTCCTCCCCTGCCTCCCTGACCCCTACCCCTTCTTACCTGAATTTCCCACTCCCATGCAGGGAGGCATGAACAGCCCCATGGTCCCAGGCCAGACCCCCCTGCTAGGTAGGGGCTTCTAGCTGGTGGGGGCAGGCCTTGCTGTTCAGGGCCCTGCCGTGGCTTCCCCTGGGTCCTACTGCCCCTAGCTCCTGTGATCTTTGACAGGCAGCCTAGGGCAGATAAATATTAATTTTCTAAATTTTAGGGGTCCCATGGGCTGGATAGAATGGCCTGGTGGGCTGGATCTGGCCTGTGGGCTGTATTTTGCCTATCCCTGGTCTAACAAGAAGCACATGGCTAGGGGTTGGCATGGGAGGTGAACAGAAGCATGAGTAGGCTTACATTATCATAGGTGAGGACAGCTGGGTCTCCATAGGGGTAGATGGTAGTGAGAGTCTTTGGAGTGGAATATCGCTCGGCAGGGTAAGTGGCATGTGCTTGGCACTGCCAGCAGTGCTGCGAGGACTGCTGTGAGGACTGCTGCTCGTGGCTGGTTGTTTCACTCCTGTCCTTCTTCTCCAGAGCTTGTTCCCTGGAGAAGGACAGAGTGGACCCATTACCCCCCCTTATTGCACTGTTAACCACAGGAATCACACCCTTATCTGGCCAAAAATCAGCCATCATATCTTCTAGGAGTATCAGGAGTTGAGCAGGGCTCTGCATGGATCTGTAGAGCTGGCAATGGTTAATCTAGGAGTTTAGAAAGGGGGGTGCAGTTGGGATCAGATCCTTGGCCTCTAGGCTGACAGGATATGGCAGGTGCACCTGGCTGCCTGCCCAGCTTGAGAAGTGGAGCTGGGTAGCCTGGCAGGAACTGGGCTTCCAGTTGACCCTCAACTGATTCTGCAGGTGTTTCTGGCTTGCCTGCCTGGCTGGGGAAGAGGGGCTGGGCAACCCAGCTCTGTCAGGATTGGGCCCCAGACAGCAAGAGTGGAGGAGGTGCAACTACACCAAAGCACCCCTACTTCATCCACCCCCGGATACAGGCACATGGAGTTCCCTTCAGTGAGCTCAAGGATACTAGAGAAGCAAATATTGTCCCAGAAACCAGAAGATCCTCCCCCTGAACCTGGTGCTATACACTAGTGACTGCTTCCCCTGGCTGCATAGTGATGGGCATCACCCCCAGCAGAAGACAGGGCCTGCAAAAATGACCGGCTCTCAAGGGGTGATGAGCTTCTGTCCTGATGAGATGAATGCCCTGAAACCTGCTACCTTGGGGCAGAACTTGCTATAGGCATCTTGAAGGAAAATTACCTCCCCTGGAGATGCTCAAATTCAGGGGTTAGGAACCAGGCTCCATTGCTACTTGAATCACTTGCAGAACTAGAGCACAGGCCCCTCCTTTATTAGGCACATGCTGCTGAGCCAGGAGCTGAGCCACACCAGTGTCTCACACCTGGCACTGGTGAAATGGTGGAGGGGTAGTGTTAGCACTAGCAGATCTCCAGGGAAAGAAACAGGCTGCTTTATTCTCCCTGGACATGGGGCTTCTTTCATAGGCTAGGGACAGACATTCAAAAAGCCTGAGCCTGAATTGATTCAACCTTTGCAGGTTAGTCTAACCTGGCTAAACTGAACCGGTTTCCAACCATAGAGACAATCCCTCTGGACTGAGGAAATTCAGGCACATGCCTGCAGTGGCTCAGGCAGGAAGCCAGGGGGTGCTAAAGCAGCCCTCCCTTCCCTTGAAGAGCTGACCTGAAGGGGGTGTGGCCAGGTCCCAGCAGGAGGCTCTGATTAGGGATTGGTGTAAACCTCAAACCTTCCTGTAGTCCCAGGCTTTTCCCAGCTGGTTGGTCAAGGTGTGGGAGTGTTACCAACCTCCAGCTAGCACTGAGGCAAAGGGGTGTGTGTGCAGTGTGTGCATCTGCTGCTGATACAGAACTTTTCAATCTCCCTCCCTGCTTCTGTATACTGCCTGCAGCAAACTGACAGGCAAGCAAGCCAGGGGTGTGGGGCTGATAAGAGTGTCACTCCTATCTCAGTGTTTATCACCCCATTAAGAAAACACAGGGACATTACCAGCTACTTGTTGATTCTGCCTGTTGATTCAGCAGGGACCCAGAATGTGGTCAGCTAGCTAATACACAGATACCTTCTCACAAGGCAGAGGGGAAAGGGGAATTCCTGCTTAGCAGGGACAGGGGGAGCAAGCAGCTCTTAAACAGCTTTACCAAAGAAGGACATTAAGCTACCAGATGAATAGCTCCAAAAAGCCTGTCTGCCTCTGTGGTCTCTCTCAGCACAGACTGTAGCCAGCATGTGGTCTGTTAGCTAATGTTGAGGTGTCTGTGAGGGAGGGGAGAATGGCCTGCTTAGCACATTGGAGGGGGAGGGAGCAGAAGCCAGGCAGATGCCTGAAGAGACTGCCGAGCTCCAGCAAGGCAGCAGAGGGCCAGCCTTGCTGTGGAGCAGAGAGCCCTGCCCTGCCCTGCCCAGCCAGAGAGCATGCTGGGATGCTGGGGGGCTTTGATTTATCTTAAACCAGCAAGGAGTCATAAACATAAGCATAGACATTGCATAAACTGGTTTGAGCCAAATCTCAAACCAGTTTCAGCCATTTTCAAACTGGTTTATGTGTACTGAACATCTGTTTTGTTACAGGTTTAAACCAGTTTCTCATCACTTAAACTGGTTTATATGTAATGTCTGTCCCTAGCCATACTGACCAGAGAGCAGGACAGTACATAGAAGGCCAAGGAGAATCTGGTGTTTAATCCCCCCTACAGTCAAGTACATGGCATGTCTCACACACCATACATCAGGCCCAGGTGCAAGAAGCAAGAGTCCTCTCTGGTTTCATCATGGCTCAGGGCCCTGCAGCTTCCTGGGCAGTAGCTCACCTCATTTGCTGTTTCTGTGCTAGGTACTCATAACCATTGGCACTGGCTGGGCGCGTCCGGGAGTATAACCTTGCCTTTCGGACTGTTACCAGGTGCCTGTATGAGGGCAACAGTGTAGAACAAAAGGTCAAATAGTGCCCTCTAGTGACAAATTGGTGTAATTCAGCCAGAACTATTGAAAATCAGGGTTTTGCTCAATATCAGTAACTCTCAACCACATACCATGAGGATGCAGTAAGTTCCTCTGAAAGGTGTGAGAGATAAGCAAGGTGTGAGGAGATGAGCACAAGCCTGACTTATCCCTGTCTGGCTGCTCCCCTGCCCAAAGACACTATAATAAATGCATTGATTTTGGCAATGGGGTGCCGCTCAGTTCACAAAAGTTATGGAGGGTCTCTTGGATCTAAAAAGGTTAGGAATACTGCTCTGTACTCACGGCCCAGTTGTCATCATCACTGGTCTGTCACAGGAAATGCACTTCACCCGTTCAAAGAGTTGCCTGGAACAGACCCCATGATATGTATTATTCAGATATAAGATAAGCACTCAAAGATATGCCAGTGGCATCAACTGCAGCTTAAAAGTATATTTCTTAGCATGACACTGCTACTTAGAGCCTTCACTATCCTGGATGCCCACAGAAGGACAGCCTCTGCACAGCTCATCCAGGTGTAGCAGTACCCAGTATGGAGTAAGGACAGACTCCAAATCTCCTGACACCAAGGCCAGGAGCCTTCTGTTGGGACCACACCAATTCCCTAGAGTCTTGCTCTGCAGATCAGCCCCAGGACCTCTGGACAGTCACTCTTGCCTTATGGCTTTAATAAGAGGGAAAAAAGAAGGTATAAATCCCATTGGGGCAACCTTTCCCAACACTCAAGGTGATGTGGAGCATTTTGTCACAGGAGTCAAAGAGTCTAGTCTAATCAGCCCTTGGCTTTTAACATTAGGAGCTCCTGGACAAGAGCTCTTTGTCCAGAAGTGGAAGGTTGTGCTGAACAGCAGTTGATACAGCTTCACAGAGAATTTCACAAGCTACCAGGATAAATCCTGAGCTTCAAAGAAGGCCAAGAAAAAGCAAGATCTTTCAGCACTAGGGAGAGAGACTTGCCACTAGCTCTGTATGTGAAGGACAGGTGTTTCCACCATCATATAGATGTGCCTGTTAGGACAGATAGCCCTATTTATGGAAAGGGTAATTGAAGCCCTATCTATGCCCCACTGTATTTGAAGGCAGCAAGGTCAAAAAGACTACAGGTAGTGCCAAGCAGTCAGTGTTTCTTGGTGATGTTACGAGCTTAACCAGATAGAACATAACTTGCTGGAACTGATAGTGTGAGTGAATCTCCATGAGGCTGATGAGGAAAACAGCTGTACTTGGCTTCTTTTTAGCTACCTGAGTGCAGCCTCTATGCTCCCATGTGTGTTGGGGCAGCATGACTTCCCCAAGGCACTGGCATAGCACAGTGAGGGGGTGGACTCCATTCCTTGCCACAGGAGGCTGCCGTCACCAACTCACTTTTTAAAGCCAGCAGCGCTGTCAGCATCAAAGTGGGGGCCCTCGCTCAGATACTTCTTAATGAACTTCCACACTTCCTCCAGTTGCTTTTGCAGGGGGTCCAGTGCCACACGGTCCAGCTGTAGAGAACCAGGAGAAGCAGGTGACTCTGAAGGGGGCCTGCTTGCAGTAGATGTCTGCATTATTCTGCTGCAGCTCACTCTTCTAGGGCTGGCAAAGCTTCTCCTCCCCACTAGTTCCCACACATGGGAGGAGTGACTCCACTCCACAAAGCCTGATACAAGCCCTAGATGTGCAGAGAAGTTGGCTACGCAACCTACCTCTTTGCTGGTGGCCTCGGCTGCTCTTATACCAGAATCAAATCTCCTGATTGCTTAGCCAGAGTCTCCCTGTTGCAGACAAGTCCCTGCTTTCTGCCCTAATGGCCCCTGCGCACCCTTTAACTTCCCAAGAGCTGTCACCTTCTCCTTGGCTCAGTAGTGTAACCAATTATGGCAAGGATACCAGCCTCAGATGCCCATTTGAGCAGGCCCAAGAACGACAGCAACCATTGCTGCCAGCCCCATAAAGGGCACAGAACATAGGTGGCTTGTTATCTCTCTATCTTGGCCATTGCTGCTGCAGGTGCCTCCTTTTCCCTTGTCACCAGAGACAATTGGTATCAGCAATCACCTAGCATGGGTGTGAGTCAAAAACAAGTGTCCATATGATATGCACACTCTGGGGAAGCCCCATTCCTAGCCCAGGAATAAGTCCAGCTCCCAGCTATATGTTCAAAGGTAGAATGTGATAGAGCTGCCCCACAGCAGGGAGGGAGGGAGGGAGAGCAAGCCCAGACAACAAGCAGTCACTTCCAACCCAGATATTAAAGCGGAGATATGGGGAGAAGGCTCCCCCCTCACTATAGGTAACAGGCAGGGAGTCTTCCCTTCACATGCACATGCCATAGAGCTCTTCCTGAGGGAAGCAGGCCAGCTGGGCTCCCCATCCTTCCTCCATGATACAACCCTGGAAGTACGGAAGCCCCTGGGGCTCTGATCTCCCAGTTCAAGCAGGGCTGCTTTGGCCACCTTGCTCCCAGCACTGGGGCGCCCCTTGAAGTGCTGCAGAAATGGAGAGAAGCCAAAGGATGTCAGCCCCAGGGTTAAGGTAAATGATATCTTTTCCTGACCAGAAGGGAGAAAAAGGAGAAAAAGTCAGTACCCACCTTTCTCTTCCTGCTACTGGCATGACAGTAAGCTCAGTACTGAACATAGCAATGAGCAGAGAGCAATCTTGGCTCCATGTCCTTTGCTTTCCCTTTGAAGGGATCCCATGTGCTATATCCATATGGGTTTCAAGCAGAGGGTGCTTATTCACTGCATCCCTAGGCTGGGACAGCAGAGATACTGTTATCCCTGAGGATGGATCCGAGTTCCCATTGTATTCCCATGCAGTGGGAACAGAGATGCATTTTCATCATGTGAGAAAGCAGAGCCTGGTCTGTGCGGTTCCTCACTCCCCAGGGCCTCTGCAAGAGAGACTGCTCAGGCTCCAAGGCAGGGTGCTCATAATATCTGTCACTAACTGCAGAGGATGAGGAGATGAAAGAGAACATGATCCTGGTCTCACACTAACTGGACACCAGGTTAGTCCAGCAAAGCTAGAGGAGATGTGAAACAAAGACAAAGCTAAGGGTGTTTTGCAGCTCCTGGAATCTCAGGCCGCTTACTCTGCATTAGGGTGAGGTGATACCCAGCCCACCACCTCCCACCCCCACAGCTGTTCTCCCCCTGCCCTGCAGACACCTGCTACCTTGGAGTCCATGTCGATGAACAAATTCTGCAGAACCTTCTGCCACTCCTTGTCCTGCAGGGACATCTTCTGCAGCAGGTCCTGCATCATCTCATTCAGCTGAGTGGTGGCACTTTGCAGCTCGTCATGGTCCACCTTGGTCTCCAGCTCACTCTTGTCTGCTTTCTAACAGAGATTCACATACTCAGACGGCTCCTCCCCAGCTCAGAGGCTGGAAGGTCCAGGGCTCAGGTCTGCACAGGATTGGAGTCCTGCTTCCCCTATCTCATGGCTGCATCCTCCAGAAGGGATCTCCAGGGCTCCTCCCCACAGGGGTGGAGGGCTGTGAATGGAGCAGGTGCTCCTGAGCTAGGAGCAGGCTGCAAGCATGCAACTGGCTCAGGGCAGCACAGGCGGCCTGTGTGTGGTTACCCATGCTGTAACAGTGTTGATCAGGAAGGGGGAGAGGGAGCAGCTTCTGGGGAAGTCTGGTGCAATTTAATGCCAGTTGGAGTTGCTCAGTCCTTGGGGCCTAAGAACAGTGGGAGAAGGCAGGACTTGAGACCTGGGCAGCCTGGACTGGGTGACAGCAACAGGATCCCCCCTCCCACACTGGGAGAAATAAAGGGCCCAGTTCTGCAAGGGGCGATGGCCCCAGCACACTACTGAGAACTCCCATCCACCATGAGGGAGGATGGAACTGTTCAGAGGGGTGGGCTGTAGTGGGAAAACCTGGCTCTTCCTTGAGTTGCACACAGGATCTGGAAGGTGAGAGAGAAGGGCAGAGTTTTAGCACTCCATCAGGGCTTGTGCAAGAAACAGAAAGGATTTAGGTTCTGGCACTTGGGCCTCCAGTTTCAAAGGGCAGGTAACCAGCTCCCAGTGGAGCCAATTGGCCAGCATCCAGTTGCAGCCATGGGGCTTTCATTGTTTTTAACAGGAGAAAAAGAGAATTATGGAGAAGGGTCCCTCACATACAGATCACATTGCTCCTTCCTGATATCAGGCCCAGCAGTGCCCCCCCTTGCCCTGCAAGCACCTAAGGAAGGCAGTGATGGGAGCCAACTGGATTCTTACAGAACATGCAGGCATCTCCATACACTACAGTCAGAGAAGTCTGGGTGCCAGGCTTAAAGCTACCAGGATTTACTCTAGATGCTATTTCTCCTGAGATCCAGGATCTGTCTTCATGTAATGGGACAGTGTCCTAAGGAGCAGACTCCCATGCAGGAGGCTGGTGCTCCCGGCCAGTCCATCAGGATAATTACATTCTGTGCCAGTGCTGTCCTCAGAGCATTAAGAACTGAACTCAGCACTGCAAGGCACAACATTTCTGGGGAGGTGGGGATAGGCCTTTAGTCCCTGAAGCTGGTGCCACTGGTTGCCTCAACTCACCACATTCATCTCCTGTTCAAGCAGGGTTTTGTCTGCTTTATTCAGGTTCAGCTGCTCCACCATCTCTCGCAGGTTCTGCAAGCAGGCAACACACGCTCTTCAGGCAAACAGTATAGAGACTCAGCACTTGTCAGGCGAGGAAGGACAGATGTGGTCCTCTAGTTCGTCCCCTGCCTAACCCAAGTCAAAGGACCTCACCTCATGGTCCCTCGACTGCACCCTTGGGGACCAAGCAAGACCAGATCATTTGAAAAAATAGGTCCAGTCTCACTTTAACAGCTACATGTTCTGGGGAACCCACCATGGGCCTCAGGAGTAGCACCAATCCCCCTTGATGCAAAACCTCAACATCATCTCTCCAGTCCAAATGTGTCTCCCCTCACCATCTAGCCATTGCATGTCATACTGCCTTCATCCACTAGAATAAAGAGCTCACTTCTATCGCCCTCTTGAGCATCCTGATAAAAGCATTGCTGACATTCTTTTGGAGAAACTACAGACGTTGAGCTCCTTGTGCCTCTCACTGTAAGGCAGGTGTTTCAGACCTTGAACCATTCTCTTTCTGTCCTGTAATCTGAAGCTGCCCATCTGTGCCTATCCTAGGCTGGGACAGTCCACCCAAAACTTTGGTGTCAACAGACCCAGAGGGAGTAAAGTGGGGAAGGGTCACAAACCCTCCCATGGTTTGTGACCACAAGCAACATTGACTGGCCATGGAATGTTTCCATTTTCCTGGGCCCATAGGCTGTGCCTGCACTACATGCACACATCTGTGACATTTTCCTTTGGCCCAGTGATAACAGGCATGGTCTGAGCCATGTCCATGCTGCAGCCCTTTTCACAATGTGGCCACATGCCAGTCATGTTCATGCTGCCTCCCCTACCATGCTGTCTTTTACCACGTTCCCTTACTATGTTGTCTCTGCCACTGCTTCTTGGCCTTTGTTTGGCTTAGATCAAGTGCTTGTGGCAGTGCATGCTGGGAAATCTGGGAAGCTCTTCTTTCCTGCCTGGTGTTGGCAGTATATGTGGCTTCTCATGTGTTCTTGAAGGGAGCCAAAGGAAAGCTCCATTCAAGCTGTTTAAAACAGCCCCTCTCCCCAAGTATCTGTAATGTCCCAAATCAGCAAGAAGGCAGTCTAAGAAGGGAAAACCTCAGGGATCCAAAATCTTTCTGACATGTTCACAGAATGTTGAGGTTAACCTAGGTGAGAAGAGCACAGGAAGTCTCTCCTTGTTTTTTCAATCACTGCAGTGCTTCGTAGTGACCAAGGAGACGCAAGCTTCCCCACCAGTGGGCTGCAGCCCATGATCTTGCCTCAAGCAAAACAGCCAAGCAGGTGGTGTGCTCTATCACATGCTGGATGCTCCTGGGCTTACCCCCCACCCCCAAAAACACAGCAAAGCTCTCAGCTGGGCACTTGGAGATCCCAAGGCTTTGCATGCTGTACTTGGACCTGCAAACAGGTCTTCATAATTCTGAGTTGTTTCTATCTGCCCTGCCTATACTCTGCTGGCTTCCAGAGCCCAAGTGTATGTATGCCTGAAGGATTACCTGGATGTCTCCTGTGTTGCTCAGGAGCCTCTCAGTGACTTTCTGTAGCTTCTCACACTGCTCCTTTAGCTTCTGCATCTGGGCCAGCATGTTCTTTCGGAAGTCCAGCCTCTGGGAAAGCAAGGCATGACACCATCAGCATCTTAGACACCCAGCATAGCTACCACTTTCTTGTGCCCTTTAGAGCTGCCAAACAGTTTCCATTCCAATATCCTGCCCTCAGACCTTCCTAAAAGCAAGGATTCCCCAGACAGGGACATCTTCCTATGGTTCAACCCTGAAATGTGAAGCATGACTTGGACAGAGACCTTGCTGGAGGTGACCACCTTGATAACCAGTGGGTTAGATTTCAAAGAGGTGGATATGTGAGGCTTTAGGGAACCTGCCTACATGCAGCTTGTAACTTCTGGTTAAAGTTATAAAGCTGTTAATTCAACAATTGCTTCATTTTAGAATACTTCTATGGCAATGTGTCCCCACTTGTGCTGACAAGGACTGGAATTCTCTTTTGTTTGGTTGTCAAAGTAGCAATTTTGTAGCCATCTACAATGGTATTTGTGGCACTTATACACAGCTAACCATTCTTTTCCTGCACTTAACCCTGCACATGTAGATGACTACATACGCATGTACCTGCATGCACAACAGCAACAACATGAAGGAAAACAAATGTTCACCCATGTTTTAGGGAGCTTAGTGGTTAATATAGTTGCCTGGGAAGCTGGAAACCCAGGCTCTAGGCCTTCTTCACCCAGAGGGGGGTTTTCCAGATCCCACTCCAGTGTTATTTTTATACCTGAGCCTCTGCCCTTTGCATTTAATAAAGTAATGAGAAAAAAATGGAGAGAAGGATGAAGGCAGAAAAGGATGAAGTTTCTGCCTTACTGGGCATAAGGCTCCCTAGCAGGCCAGCAACCACCTAAGTTATCTATGCACCCTCTGGCTTACTCTCTTCTTCCTGTTCCCACATATTTCCTTCTCGTGGCTTCCCATGGGGCCAGTTTCTATGGTACTTGGCCCATGGGGATTCGAATAGTGGTTAGAGTGTTGTGCAAGGAAATTAGAGAGGCGTGGCCTGGGCTCAAACCTTCACTGACAGGTTGGCCTAGAAGTTGGGTTGCTAACTTCCCCAGATGAGTGCCTAGCCCTCAGCTACTGAGGACAAAGGATGGAATGACTCCCCTCCTCCATCTAACATTGGGTATTCATGAGACAACTATGATCTTAGGCCTTAGCTATCACTATGTGCCCACAAAAGGTGTGTGTACATGGCCAGTGTATAGCCTACTCTGTCTGTGCATGCAAATAATGATCTGTTTGTCCAGGAATAAAATGCTTACCTGCATATAAATGCTATGTAACTAAAAACCTGCTACTTAGATGAGCAAAACAAAATGGAGTTCCATCCAAGCAACATGTCTAGCATGTATCCACTCTAGACTAAGGGCAAAGGAAAATATTTCACTTCACAGACTGTGCTTCAATAAGCATTTGGTATGCTGAGGAAGTTGGTTAAAGCCTAGGAGAACCAATTTATTAGGGCTGCCTAGTATGTGAGGTCACTTGGTAGCAAGTCTGTGGTTACTTGTTGGGACTGAAGGTCATGTGATGGGTATTGGAAGATTATAAAATGGCTGGGGCTGCTGTGAATCATTTTTTTATCAGCTAACTATGAAAAAAAGGTGCTGCAGGAAACTAATGAAGCAGGGAGAATCCCTGCCTACCTGAATAGTGAGGACCCCAAAGGACTCCTCACATCAAGATGGGCTGGATTGTGTGGCAGAGAGTCCAGGAAGTTTGTTGTTTTCTAACTATGAGAACTCGCTGGTACTTAAGTAAAGAACAATGTTGTTTTAGAATTCTGTGCAAAGTCTGTGTGTGTCACATGTCACATCCCAGCCGCTTTCTACCCCAGAGTGCCCACATGGTTGGGAAAGGGCAAGTTTAAGTTACTGGGTGATCTTGAGGGTCAGTGCTGACATAGGGAACCTAAGACAGATAGGCTGCAAGGCTCCATTTCTGCTTTATGGGTAAAATACAAAGAGCCTGTGCCCAGGAAACCTGCAAGAGAGGCCAAAAAAAGGCCTACTGAGGGCCAGGGAAGCTTAGAGTACATTAATCCGGAGGACTGGGGCCAATTTGACAAGTGTCCATCTGGGGAATTTGACCACATCTGTGACAAGGTGCATCCAAAGCCTTCCCACTCTCCCAATGCAGCCATCCCTAGAGACTATGGTAGAAATGTTATGTATTATACTAAAACACCATCTCACAACCAATACTTTCAGCCCAGAAACAAATCACCTTCTCTTCTTCATTCTGCAGGCTGCTTAATTCATCTTGCATTCTTTTCAGTTCAGCAGCTAAGTCAGCTGAGCTCCCCATGTTGGCTAAAAACAAATGAGAGATGCCAGAGCTTCATCTACACTGAGAGTTTTAAGGACTTCTCCCACAGTTACTGTAGCCTCAAAGCCAAAGCTCTGCCCTTGTTCCCAATACACACAGGGGCCCCTCGAGGTCAGGCTGGGGATGGGAGACAGGAGGGCCAGCAGAGCCTCACCTATATGATCCGCTTGCTCTTGGAGCTGACTCTCCAGCTTGCTGACACGAGTCTCCAAGGCCTTGTGCTGCTCTGGCAGCTGGCTCAGCTTGCTGAGGGCCTCCCTGGCCATCTCTTGTTTGGACTCCAGGCTGTGCCCTTGTTCAGAGAGGCTCTGAAACAGAACACCCCAGAGGCTTTATAGCAGCTGCCCCTGCAGAGAGCTCAGCCAAGGGGGGGAGAGATGGATGGGCCAGGGCAGCTGGGTTACAGATACAGAATCCCAGTTTTCTCTACATGTAATCAGGAGCCTAAGCTTTCTGTTGAGGTTGACTTGTTCCTAAGATATCAGCTCTATGATAGCCTTCTCTCCCTCTGAGAAATGCACAATCCCCCTGATGTCCAGAGTTGGAGCCCTGCATGATCTGGGTCATTGCGTGAGTCAGAATAAAAGCCCTTACCACATCCTGTGGGCTCCCACAGCAAAGCTGGATTCTCCCCTCAAAGAGCCATAATAGACACACAATGGGACACATTCTTATTGCTCCTGAGATGCCTCTGCCCAGTACTTCCTTTTTTCTGTTCTAGCAAAGGTCTTCCATATGTATAAGAACTTTTGCCAACCTTGTCAGCAAGAGACTTGAAGAGACAGCTCCATTGTACCAGGTCTGCCTGCTTGGGGAAAGAGCTCAGCTCTTCCTGCAAGTCACCCTGCAAATAGAAAAAGAAAAAAGAAGCTCTACATCAGAGGAGGACTTCATCCTCTTTTTGGAAAGGAGCACTGCACTTACACTGGGGTGGGAGAGTTGTAATCTAGGACAGAGAACAAAGAACTACCCCAAGCCTTGCCACGTCAGACCCAAACCAGTGCTGCAAGTCTTCAGTAACACCTGTCTACCAGGGATCAACCACCCCAGGCTGCAGCCAACCTGAGCTACCACCACAGTATAGGGAGGAAGGGACTTCAAGGGGTTTTCTTGTTCTGTGCCCTACATCTGAGGCAGGACCTGCTTCTGGGAGACTGTCATCCTCATTTTCAAGTTCAAGAGCTTTGAAGGCAGAGCTAGCCCAAGGCTTTGCAAACTACATGACAGTAGAGCATTTAAACCAGTAGTTCTCAACCTTTTTGGACTCAAGGGGTGTGTCTACATGTGTGTCAGACTGAGCAGTTGTTACTGCACAGTCATTAAATACTTGCTTAAGCAAGTACTAAATGATTGCGCAGTAACCACTGCTACTGCACAGTCCCAGCACCTAATGGGTTTTTCTGGTGGTACTGAGCAGTAATATCAGAGTCACGATTCATACTCGCCAATGTTATGTCATCATAGCGTTGAGCTACATCGCCATTACTCATCACTATACAGACATAGTGTCTTGTGTAGACACACCCAAGGCACCCCTTCTTAGATTCAAGGCAGCCCTCAGAAAATGCCAAAGTTTTCACTTGTTTTTTGACTTCAGAAAAATAATAGAGAAAGTCTTCTGTAGCAAAGAATGCAGAAAGACCACAACAGGTCAGAATGTTTTTAAACCTGGATTTTTATTGAAATCTCTGGATTTATCTTGTGAATCTTTTTTGTACCCTTAACAATAATAACATTCTGTGGCACCTCTGAAAGGATCTCAATAGACCCCAGGGTGATATGGCACCCTGGTTAAGACTTAGTGATTTAGGTACTTGGCAGTGGGGAAAGGCCAAAATGCTTAACCCTTACTCAGGGCCAAGACTGGAAGGGTGGCATTCAAGAGAGAGCAGTGAGGGCTGGGAACTGCAGAGACTCTTTCATGGTGTGTGTGTGTGTGGGGATGATTGTCTCAGGGCAACATACAGAGGACCTGACATCCTAGTGCAGGCTGAGGTGCAGCACCTATACTGCAATGCCCCCTGTACTTGTATCTTAAGTCCAACCTCTGGGCACAGATTTCCAGGCACTATACCAGCTGTGCCCTCCACAGTTCACTTATCACTGGGACTTTAAGCATAGTGCTGTACATATTATTTTAAAAAACCATGCTAAAGATAAGGCTGGCAGCCTGCTGTGCCCACTGTTGTCCTCAGTGCCCACCCAGGACGCCCAGTCTGTACTGGAGCAAGGCTGCTACCAGACTCCTGGGGGGTCCCATAGCTCAGTGGACTTGGAACTGACCAGAGACATTTTGAATGCTCCCATCCTGCCCTCTTCCCCCCACCTCCCTCCACCAAAACAGGACTCCTATGGAGGAGCTACCAAGAGAGAAACAGCCTTGATCCCAGTAGCAATCCTGCTCCCTGTCCAGGTCTGGGATCTAGCTGCCTAAGGAGTCCCCTGGGGTGAAGTGTGGGAGGCGAGTGCTGTGTCTGTTGTGTATTCTTCAGCTACCAGCTGCTTGGCATGTTTGCTGGCTAGTTTTGTTCAATGTCTTCATCAACGACCTGGAAGATGACATAGAGTGCACCCTCAGCAAGTCTGCAGATGACACCAACCTGGGGGGAATAGTAGATAGGCTGGAGGGTAGGGCTAGGATTCAGTGACCTAGACAAATTGGAGGATTGGGTCAAAAGGAATTTCATGAGGTTCAACAAGCACAAGTGCAAAGTCCTGCACTTAGGATGGAATAATCCCATGCACCAGTACAGGCTGCAGGGTGACTGGCTGGGCAGCAGCTCTGCAGAAAAGGACCTGGGGGTTACAGTGGACAATAAGCTGAATATGAGCTAGCAGTGTGCCCTTGTTACCAAGAAGGCTAATGGCATACTGGGCTGTGTTGGTAGGTGTGTTGCCAGTAGGTCAGGGGAAATTATTGTTCTCCTCTATTAAGCACTGGTGAGGCCACATCTGGAGTACTGTGTTCAGTTTTGGGCCCCCCACTACAGAAAGGATGTGGATACATTGGAGAGGGTCCAGCAGAAGGCTACAAAAAGGTGAGGGGGCTGGGGGACATGATTTATGAGGAAAGCTTGAGGGAACTGGGCTTATTTAGTCTAGAGAAGAGGAGACTGAGAGGGGACTTAATAGCAGCCTTCAACTACCTGAAGTGGGGCTTGAAAGAGGATGGATCTAGACTATTTTCACCAGTGGGAGATGACAGAACAAGGAGCAATAGTTTTATGTTGCAGCGAGTAAAGTTTAGGTTAAATATTAGGAAGAATTTTCTCACTAGGAGGGTAATAAAACACTGGAACAGGTGGTAGAAACTCCATCCTTGGAGGTTTTCAAGATCCAGCTAAGCAAAGCTTTGGCTGAGACAATCCAGTTTGGGATGGTCCTAATTTGAGCAAGGAGTTGGACTAGATGACCTCCTGAAATCCTTTCCAACCCTAACTTTCTATGATTCTAGGCCAGCAAGTGCACAGGTAACATGGCTGCTCATGTACAGAGGGGAAGACATCCCCACATCTGGGTGTGAAGGTATCTGAATTGACTGTGCTTAACCGACCAGACATGTCTCTTGCCTTTGTAAAGCAGGTTGAACTCTTATTTTCCAGATAGCATCACTTACAACCACAGCTCCTCTTCTGGTTACTTACTCTGCAGGGGAGGTGGCTCTTCTTTGAATTAACTTGTCAGCAGAGATCCTCAGCTGGGGTGCAGTGGCAACATGTAGGGGATGCACAGGGATGCACATGCACCCCCTGAGAGCGCTGGTGCACGCCCTGTCAGCCAGCATTCCCACGCAGGGGGAGCAGGTGAGAGCACTGGTGCCCCCCTGAGAGTACCGGCCAGGGAGTGGGGACTCCCCCAGAAGTGTCAGTGGAGTGCCCACTGCCGCTGCCACTTGTGGGTCAGTGGGATTGGCTGGGGGGGATACCACCCCCCCGGGTCAGTGTGATCAGACAGAGGACCACCCCCCAGTCGATGAGTGGCCACTGGGGGGGGGCGCGCAAGTGACTCAGGAGGCACCAGTTGCCCATGCTGGGTGGATCAGCTTTGCTCCACTGAAGTCAATGGAACCGACACAGCAGGATGATCTGGCCAGGTGTGTATCAGGATTTTCCTAGGCCTTGGGACATGTGTTTCCAGTGTAGGCTGTGCACAGAACCCTCACTGATTGTGACCAGTTACCAGTGACTGTGGCACTGAACTTAGTGCATAAATAGGGCTCTTGAAATGCTGTACAACAGGGCCTGGGCTAAGCAATCCCTACCTGACTCCTCCTGACTACTACCATACATGCTTTTGCCCATTTGCTAGCAGTTTCTCTCCCCCTGGCCATGCCCCCACTCACCAATTTGTCCAGGATGGTCTGGATGATCTGGCTGTGCCGATCCAGTAGTGCAAGCTGCTCACCTATTTCACCCATGCTGTCCTGTTGAGCAAATGACATTGGAGTGAATTGCTGGCATGCAGAGTGCTTGAGCTGCTGGTGGCTTCCATCCAGCCCCACTCCCTAGCCTATGCTGGGAAGCATTACTCCAAACTGCACAGTCTAAAGTGCTTGTCTCCATGCCCTTGGACTCAACTCAGTCCTTGCACACAGCATGCACTGCAGCCCTGTGGGGTGTAAACTGACTGCCTAGGGACTGAGAGGGACCAGAATCTCCAGCCTCCTGCACATCATGTTAGTAGGGAGATGAGGGAGAGGTTCAGTTGTCCTGATGTGGGGGGAAAGAATCCTTTGAAGCCCAGCAGGAGCCCTTGGAAGCCCATGAAGACCTGTCTTGTCCTTGCTATGGCATCACTCCCATCCATCTATGCTCTATTTTTCTCTGCTTGAGGAAGCTGAGTGCCATGTGGGACCATATGGAGACCTGTTGGGTCACCCAGGAAGTGCACAATGTGGGTGGGGAATAAGCTGTCCTTCTGTGATGCCTTCACCAGGACAACTTCCCCCTGGCACAGGCAGGCTACACACTTTGTGGAACTTGTCCTTCAAGAGTCTCAGCTCATTCTGGAAGGCGTCAACAGTGGTTTTCAGTGAGTAGATGTTGGTAAGCAGGTCTTGCAGAGTGTTCATAGCCTGAGGAAGTGAACAGGGTAAAAGAACATGAGTTGGAACCAGGTCACAATGCATTAGGTGTAACAAGGCAGCTGGGTGCATAGGGGAGCTGTGACTTCACTCCCAGTGCAACTGTGTGGCTATGGCAGCAGCAGTTTTTTCCACTGCTCTAAGTCAGTGGCTGGGGTGGCTTCCCTGGTTGCCCTGCCCTAGGTACTCTATTGTCCCAGTGAACAGGGAGACTGGAGAGAAACCAAGAGAGGTCCACCTGGCAGTAAGCCACACCTGACATGGTGTCAGGGATGCTTATTGGGCAGACCAGCCTGGGCCCAGTGCTGTCAGGGACTCTGAGCAGGCCGCCCACCCTGGGCCACGTACTGCAGCAGCCACATTTGCAATAAGCCCCAGCTAATGAACTCTGACCCTGCTCAGGAGCAGCGAGCATCCTGATTGGCTGCTGTGTGCACCACCTATCCATGTGGCACCAGTCTGGGTCTGCAGGACAGTCAGCAGTTCTGCTGTGCCAAGCCTCCTGGTTCCTACATTCTGGTTCTCCTGGCTTCTGACCCTGAGGGGTTTTGTTTGTTTGTGTAGCTCGGGTACACCTGGGGGTGTGCCCTGTCCTCCGATGACAGTGGTGGTGGTCAGGCAGGGTGCTGAGGAAGGAGTCAGCTACTAGAGTGGCTTCCTCCCCTCTCTATAGAGCTAGGCCAACACCAAATATTTAACTATGTACAATTTATTACAAGAATAAACACAGATGCTTAATATAAAACATAGAATATTTATAAGGCTTAACATATAATACTATATATAATATTCCACAATTCACATATAATACCAAATATAAGCCAAATAACTTACAACCTATACAACACAATTAACACATAGGGATAGTAACTTAACCATAATATTTCTTTAAACCTTCACAAATAACAATACCAATATACACATTGAGGCATTAAAACACATAAACCATATAAACCCCCATAAAGAATACCCCTAGCTATATAGCCCTTAACACAACAACCTCAAAATAGGGAGTGCACTCAGCACCTCCCTGAGGGGTTTCCCTGAAGCCCCTCCCCTTTAGGGCCCTGGGATGTGGACACGCTGCTCCCACAATGGAGGGTGGAGGTGGGGTGGTGAGGGTGGCAGCCCCTCCTCACCCATGTCAGCCTCCCCTGCGGGGCCCACTTCCCCAGCAACTCACGCTTCCTCTCTGGAGAAGTCCAGGCTCAGCCCCTGGTGGCCAATCCTGCAAGAGCCTCTCCCCACCAGCACCTTCGGCTCTCCTAGATGGCCCGGCGCCCTGGACTGGGCACCCAGGGCTCTCTCTTTCTCACAGGAGCCAAGCCTTTGCAGGCTCCGACTCCCCAGTCTCACACTGGTGGTTCTCCCCCTTCCCAGGCCCTGCTGTGGGCACCAGGGCTCTGTTAGTTAAAAGTGGAGCCGCACTGCAGGGCTCCAGTCACTCGGCTTAGGGCCAGAGCTAACGTGAGCAGCCACAAGCTGCTTCCAAGGCGGTTCTCCGTGCGCTGACCTGTGCACTGGGTAAGGCCCAAGCAGCCTTGAGCTGCTTCCAGGGCCAGTTCTCCATGTGTCAATCTGCACGTCGTGCAGGGCCCGAACAGCCTTCAGCTGCTCCCCAGGCCAGCTCTCCATGTGCCAATCTGCACACCGACTGCCCAGCTGCTTGCTGGGTTTGCAGGCTCAAGCCGCCTCGAGCAGCTCCTACAGCCTGATCCCTGTGCGCCGATTCACACACCACTGAATCTCAAGCAAGGTCCTGAGGATGGCCATCTCTGGAGCTCC